CTGATTGCTTTGATTTTATCATCATTGATGCTAATTCTTTTTTTTATTTTTTATTTTTTCAAAGAAACTGTCAAAAACTCCAAAAAAAAACAAGTCAGACATGTATAAATTTGACAAGGTAGCTTCAGGTAAGTAAAAGATCAGAAAAGGAGGCAAACACAGTGAAACAGTAAATCATGTTATGGAATAAATTCGCCCCAAAGAAACATCAGTTGTAAGGCCTCAAACCGACTGTATTTAATACATCAAAGACAGCTGAACTTAAAGGGTACATTTTTCACTTAACTTTGATTATTTTAGAAACAGACAGAATAGATCAGCCCCTATGGATTAGGTGCATATCTATCCCAAAGAGGCATTTCTGTTGTTATGTCAGGTGGAGAAAGTGTGGGCAGCAGTGTTGCGTAAAAGAGGTGTGGATTTCCAGCTATTGATCCAATGTTTTCCAGGAATGATTGTGGCCTCAGTCGGTGAGTGCTCTTAAGTTGGATCTCAAATGGGAAGAGTGTTGAGCCTAAAGTGCATTGACCAGTTTTAAAGACGAGAAGTTCCATCTCTACTTAAACCGTCTTATTCTCTAATGACTCTGTCAACTTTTCCCTTCCTCCCTCCTGCTTTCAGTGCCGTCGGCCAATCCTGACTTTCCGTCTCTTTTTTTTTTTTTTGGTTTTATTGAAGGTTTGAGTCCAGAAAAAGTGGCCAGCTTTACAAAGCGCCTGCGCTCTGAACCACGCTACCTGTTGGCCCAGAATGTGTCCACCTGCATCGACCCTTTGGAGGTTTGTTTGCACCGACAGACCGTCCAGGATACAGTGCACATCTTTCAGCACTCCATTCCCACGGAAGGCAAGCCTATCACCAACCAGAAAAGCTCAGGTAAGACGCTAACATTACCCGCCCCATGCAACCCCGACACAGCATGGATAACAGAATTCCAAAAGACGACTATTTGTAAGCTTATTTTCTGTGTTTTATTTATTTATAGTTTATGTGACAGTTCACATAATATATGCATTATCCAGAAGTGGAAAAAAAACATGATACATGATTTTCCCTTTTATAAAAAAAAAAAAAACCTCAAATGTTTGGAGTATTTTGTGTTTAGCTTTTCTTTACTGTGATGGCTGTTCTCAGAGTATAGCTGTGTGTCATTTAATATCGGTATAAAATAAGATAAAATAGTTGTATTTTTCTCACAGTGGAGAAATTCACCCCTTTCAGAAGGGAAGCACATAAGTCGAATCAACGATCAACAAAGTAAATGTGCTAAAAACAAGGGTGAATTAATCTTTCAATAGAAACACAGATATATTTGATCTGCTGTGTAGTAAATAGTTCAGATGTGTTTAGTTTGTCTCTTGTTTAATCCAACCCCCACCTTTAATCTGATGATGTCACATCATTGTTGGGATGTGACTTACAGCTAGCTCAAGTTTGTAATAAGTGGTAAGTCACCTTAGCCTCGTGAGACCATCCTGATCTCGCGAGCTTTCAAGGTTTCACTCGCAGATCAGTCTGGAGACTCTCCGTTAAAGAAAATGTGGAGCCGTTCACCAAACGAACGTCCAATCAGCGTTGGCTTTGAGGCGGGTTGAGGTGTGACGCAACGAGAA